TACCCTCTTGATCAACTCATAACGAAAATTAGAACACAATCATAAAAAAATTATTTAAGAAATTCTATTGAATACAATTACTGTGTACTCTATACACTGTTTAAAATATTATTGTGTGATTTTTTTAAAGCAAAAGTTAAACCTTATCTTTTTTATCACAATTACCAGCACATCGTATACTGGGCATTATTTGTATTTCTACATTTGTTGTTTTCGATCACTAAATAAATCTATTTTTTCATTTTTATACAGAGGAGAATAATTGAAAATTATATCTAATCGCAACAACGCCAATTTTTATATAAAAATAATTTGCATCCTATTGTGTTGTGTATTATAAAATGCACACAACCAATGTTTATCGATTGCATGTTGTGCATAATTATTAACCCATTAAATATGATTTTGAGGCCAATGTTGTAATTTTCCTTTATAAAACAATTTTCTATCGCGCAAAATATAATGTTGAATAATTATTGCGACGTGACATACTTCGTGATTAGAAAATAACAGAAATTTTCAAATCAATTCATTTTTTTCTGCAACTTTTCATTTTTTTGAATTTTGTTCTTCAGAATATACATAGATTACACAATTCTTTCAAGTTTATTATCAAATTTTAAAAATAGAAATAAAAATGAACAAATCGTTTTTATGTAACTGTTACGTAACGAACTGTTATCTAGTGTTTTTAATTCTCCACTAACAAAATTGTGAATAGAAACAAAAATCAAATGTATAAGTACTTTGTCGTTGACTACCAACACAATATCAAAAGATCTGCATTAGTTTGTTTCGCCCAACAAATCCATTATTCAACCACCACGCCCATCATCATCAATATAGGTGTCGCGGGACTTCTACGCAACGCATGTTTCGTAACAGTGTCGTAACTGCGATACATCATTTGCGATATACTCTCTATATAACAGAATTAGTATGCTAATTACGTGTTACGATAGTGGCTGAGTTTGCGCGTCCGCATAATGCATTTTGAATTCGACAACGATTACTATGACATTAGTAGGAGAGCCAATAGTCCAATTGGGAGAAGCAACTTTAAACTAATTTTTTATTCCAATTTCCAGAGATGCTTGGATTTGGATTAATAAGAGCGCTAATAACCGAATTTGGAGATGCAGCTTTAATTTGTTATTTTTGTGCCAACTTCTTGTTGAACAAACCAAAGCCAGCGCTTCCTAGAATCAAATACCAGGTGTTCCAATGATTATTGGGAGTGATTTGAGCCCAATTCAGAGACAGATTCCTAACTCATTTTTACGAACCAACACAAATCAAGAATTACAAATTTTAAATCGCAATTTTTAATGATCCACGAGTTTGGATATTACTTTGCTTCAACTAGTTATTTTTGGACAAACTTCTTGATGAACAAACTAGAGCCAGCGCTTTCAAGAATCAAATACCAGGTTCTCCAAGATTATTGGGAGTAATCTAAAAATGATCTTTTCACGTTTTCACTAATCAAAACAAATCAAGGATTTTAAGATTCAAATTGTCATTTTTAATTTTTTGGATTTAGACGCTACAATGATTGATGTGATATAAAACCGATTTGATGATGCAGCTTTTACTCATTTTTTTAATGAACACATTCTTCAAATTCTAAGTTACCATGATTCAGATACTTGATCAAATTTAAAGTTCAATCCGTTACTAATAATTGCTTTTAGTAACTTTTAAGAATTTGACAATTTTCTTAAAGGACTTTTGCTGGATCCAGCAATTCTTGATATGAGTTGGACAATGGAGACTCAGTAATAAGGTTACATTCGATTTAAAGATTGATCTACTTCCAAAGAATACTATTACTAGCCTCTGGATTTTGGGTTTACGTTCTTTGCTATTTCCTCTAATAGTTGTGTACTTTCCTATTTTCCATGGCATTATGGATTGGTAGATTTTATATGAACCATAATTGAAGTAACTACACCATTTGCAGTATTTTGCATTTTGGAGCACTAATAGAACGCAATATGTGTTTATTTAAACAATCTAAATTTTAAGTTGGGAGTTCCACAAGGGTCTGTGCTAGGACCACTTTCTTGCCTCATTTCACCTGCCCATCACCTGAACTCTTTATCCGTGTAAAAAAAATACTGACAGACCAAGTCTTATTGACAAAGTTTTGTACAAAATGTCTAATAATTCTATATTTAAACTCTTGTATGATTACGTTTATTAAATACATTTTTATTGATTAGATTTGATATAAATATTTTAATTTTCCAAAAATAACTCTGTACCTAGCTTATGCATAATCTTAAATACTGCTTGCTTTACCTAAATTGACTATTAAATCAGAAGATCAGAGATCCACATATGTTGGATGTAGGTATAGATCATTTCTGTTCTATCCATAGATCATATATGTTTCAAAGAAGCTTAACTTATTCATAGGAGAATTATTAAAAATATAGTAATTCAATCAAGTTTTATCTATTTCAGTAAATTTCCAAATATTGATCAGCTATCCATCTACATGATGATTTCCACTTTGGTTATTGATTGCAACCACCTCAATGTAGTTTTGTCGCTCGTCACCGAGAAGCATTTTCGCCATGTCGCGCAGAGTTGCTAATCGTGATGACAGTAGCGTTTTATTATTATTAAAGCTACCCCATCGAGATAGGCCTACCCCTAAATACTTTGTGTATGAGATAGATTAACCCCGAATATATACGCTTTGCACTTCTCTGAAATTTGCTTACGGATATACGCAAATTGATCTTTGAGGCAAAGGAGAATGTACTTTTTTGTTATTAATATAAATTATTCAGTACAAAGAATTTTTGAAATTTAATTCAAAATTTTAGTTTTCACGAAATTTTAATTGATCATTTGGAACGATACAATATTTTATCAGGAGAAAAGCTCATTGCATGACCAAGTCTTATTTGAATAACAAAACATAATGTGTGTTCAGATCCAAACGGGATAACATTTGTATTACCAATCTCAATATTAAGATTCGAGTTCCACAAGGGTCTGTGCTGGGACCACTTTCTTTTATCATTTACATTCTGCTCACTTACCTTCTGCCCTAAGGTACTGACATATCTATGATATTATACAATAATTCATTTATATTCAGCTCTTGCATAAGTGGTTCCTTATTCCCTTCTAGAATTTTGATTTTTAGATGCAGTTTTAGTTAATTTTTAGTACATAAGTTTGCTATTGAAAATAAAAAATCAATAATAATAATTTACCAATATTTGAGAATATCTAGCTATCCTCAGCTGGGTTTTGGTGAGAATGATGTAAATTTGTAATTGATAATCATTTGAATTAGAAGAAAAAATCAAATTTAAGTCTATAATTTCATAGTTTTATTCCAAAACATAATACGTTGTTAATACTCTAAAAATTTTATTCAAACTTTACGGTTTATATAACTGAAAAAACTCTATTTTCCAATAATCTTGCATGAAGAACTCCTGATATATTTTTATCTTTGACCTAATAATTCCAATTATTTATTTCATAAAGCTTCTCATTTTAGCATGTTACGATCATTGCTTTTTGTATCTCAAAATATATTTTGTAGGAATCGAAATGGAAACGTAATTTGTTTTGATGAAAAAAGTTATATTATGTATATCGAAGTTCAAGTTGTGTTTATTAAATTTTCAACAAGTATTTGATGCGTTTCCGTATTACTGAATATTAATATTGATGAACATCGAATGCAATATATTCCATCAATCAATTAATAATGATAATAATAATATACATACTGTTGATTTTATATATATGTACTAATATTTGAACAATTTGATTGCATGTATTTATTAAATCCTGCACCGTGTAAAATCTAATGTTTGAATTGGTATATAAATTGTTTTACATTGGAAAATGCTTTTCAATCAGTACATATATACATATAAATATATATATATATATATATATATATATATATATATATATATATAATCTTCTGTAATAATGTATGTAAATATACTACTTCTAAAGGATTATTCGGATATTGATAAATCTTTCTGCATTTTGTTAAGGGAATTTATTAGGATGCATGTGATTATAAAACTATAGTAATAAATGAAAGTAATTGTAGAAATAAATGAAAAAATGCATAAAACAACATATCATTGTTTGACATTGAAAACATTTTGATACATGAGAATTGTCATCTGCCAAAAATGTCGATAAACTTGAAATTTGAATTTAGTTTAAGCGAGTCTAGACAATATTAGTATACTATATCCAAATTCATGGTTATGAATAAGCAAAATGTAATATTTACAATATTATTACAATTACAATTACAAAATATTTACAATTGCCAAAAACCAGCTGAGATGTGCCAGAAATTATAACAGTATATGTTTGGCAGATGAAATTATATAATTTAGTTTAATAAATAATACAATACGTCCAAAATTGTATATACATTATTTCTTTAAACTTATGCGTATTGTATTTTGCTTTACTTTACTAAATTAGTTAAATACAAGAGAATATTTCTACTTATTAAAAAAATGATTTAGAATTTTGCTTCATGTGTCAAAAATTCATTTGTTTTATCTTGATCTTAGATTGAACAGTGCCATATGACTAAGTTTTACAAATTAATTCACCTAAGATTTTAACTAGAGTAATAATCTTTATTAAATTATTAGCAAGAAAAATGTAATTTAGAAATTGTAATTGCCAAGAAGTAACTAATATAGGGTACGCAATTATAAAAATCAGACTATTATATATATTATTGAAGCAATTGTATTGGTTAGAAATAACAAAGGTGATATTGTTCTTTTACCGTAGATATTATATTCATTCTTGCACTAACTGAACTTTTTGAAAGTTATTTTTGTTAGGTTTGTTTTCGTCTGGCAGAATAATATCAATGAAATATTACTTGGCAACCATCAATATGCCTCTTTGAATGTTTCCAAATTGTGTTATGTTCTCTGAATTTGTATGACATCGCAAAAATTCAATTTCGCGATACATCATAATCATCCAAAAGTGTCATGCCGTTTTAATTTAAGCGAATAAACGCAGTCACGTTCCCTCCGATATATGCACGAACGCATTTCACCCATATCTGCATATTAATGATAAATAAATATCATGTAAAATATTCATAGAAAACAAAAAAAGCAGAAAAAAATAATGCGGAAAAAGGAAAAATGTTATTTTTGTTCCACGAGCCGAGAGCAAATGACAGAATTCTCTTTGAAAAAATAATCCCGGAATTAATGCAATTATGTGAAACATGTGGAATATAAATAAGCCCCGGCTATAAAGAGTTTTAGAGAAACGGAAATGTTTTTATAAATTGGCGTGCAGAGAAAATTGTTACTTGACAAAGATAGTGTGGAGAGGGTTCAGTGGAAATTTGAAACTATCAAAGGATAATTAATTCTCAAAATATTTCAAGTATTAATTTATATAATAGCGTTATTGCATATTCGGCTGTATTTCTAAAGTAATAACTGATATCACTGCTGCCTGACTCAGGCTGTACGACTCTGTTATCGAACGTGAAACCTATGATTCGAAGGGCTAATTAGTTGATAAATAGTTTCAGTTTATTCATATATAGCAAAAATCATGATTTTTAAGAATTTTCCTAAAGTTAGTAATTTCCATGAAGTTAGTTTGCAATAGACATAAGGTGTGCAATTTAATATTTTTGGTGACATAGTTATAATTTTATTTTTTTTTAATTTTGCATAAACCTAAATCATTCTGAAAGTTTAGATAGCACATTTGTTAGATATTTTGTTAGTTATACGTAATTTACGAAGTGTAATTTGAGAGAATTTATTACTACGATGACTCTACATTCTCAATAGTTAGATTAGTTGTTAGATATTTTGTTGATGACTCCACATTCTCGATTGTTAGATTAGTTAGATTAGTTTGATGACTCTACATCCTCAATTGTTTGATTAGTTAGATTAATTGTTAGATATTTTGTTGATGACTCTACATTTTCAATTGTTAAATTAGTTCGATTAGTTGTTGTTAGATATTATATTGATGACTTTACATTCTCAATTGTTAGATTCGGTTAGATTAGATTCTTTGTTAAATATTTTGTTGATAATTACATACATTTTTGATTGTTAGATTAGTTATTAGATATTTTGTTGATGACTCCACATTCTCAATTGTTATATGAGTACTTATTGTTGTTAGATTTTGTGTTGATGACTCTACATTCTTGATTCTTAGATTAATTAGATAAGGTGTTAGATATTTTGTTGGTGACTTTACATTCTCGATTGTTAGATATTTTGTTGGC